TCCTGTGAAGAAAGATTAAGGGAAATCGGCCTGACGACACTGGAGGACAGGAGGGTCAGGGAGACATGATAACGACATATAAAATACTGCGTGGGAAAAGACAAGGTGGACAAAGACAGGATGTTCCAGGGAGGGGACACAGAAACAAGAGGCCACAATTGGAAGTTGAAGACACAAATGAGTCAGAGAGATATTAGGAAGTATTTCTTCAGTCATAGAGTTGTAAGGCAGTGGAATAGCCTAGAAAATGACATAGTGGAGGCAGGAACCATACACAGTTTTAAGACGAGGTTTGATAAAGCTCATGGAGCGGGGAGAGAGAGGGCCCAGTAGCAACTGGTGAAGAGGCGGGGGCCAGGAGCTAAGACTCGACCCCTGCAACCACAAATAGGTGAGTACAAATAGGCGAGTACACATAAAACGACTGTCTCTGCGTGTTCGTGGGCATTTTGTGGTATGTCCACATACAAAACACCTCTTCTGAGCATTTTTCTTGAAAGCAGTAGGAGGCAGTTGTATGGGGTAGTGATCACCAGGCCTCAAACAAGATGGCGTGTGTTGGTAATTTTGTGGGCGCTGGTCTATTGCAGGTGTTGCTCCTTGGTACTTGATGATTATTTGTCTGATGACTGACAAACAAAATTCACCATATTTTGGTTTGTTGTTGGTCCTCACCTTGTATATGTTATAAGCATTTAGCATTGAAATATCAACAAGATGGAAAAAATCTTTATATACCACTTATAACTCTTGCGTACACAATCAGCAAACCCAATCTGCATGTCACATTTGTCCACTAAGTGCATATTGAGGTTGTAGTCCATGACAGCTGCAGATTTTAGAATGGGTTCATTGGTCTCTATTGTGCCTGCCAGTATGTGCCATATCGTTTTGGTGAACTAATGTCAACAATGTGGCATCACGTTTGTCATGCCACCGAAATGCCATGATGTCATTGGCAGCAAAGGCTTGCACCTCACCTCTGCGAGTGCCAGCGTCGAACCTTAGCACGTGTTTACGATTACCACACACTGTGCCACACACGTCTGTCAGGTTCACTCGCAAGAAATCACTGAGTATGGGGCTTGTGTACCAGTTATCAGTATATAATATATGCTCCTTACCAAGATATGGTTCCATCATTGTTCAAACCACATCACCACAGATACCCAATAACTTCCTGGTATCTCTCAATGTATTACTGCCAGTGTACACAATGATATCCAAAAGAGACCACTTTTGCAATCACACAGTACAAATAACTTTATACCAAAGCGTTTCCTCTTGCTTGGTATGTATTGCTTGAGAGTCTTCCTTTGAATAAAATCAAAGACTCGTCAATAACAAGCTTCCTGAAGGGATAAAAATACATGCAACACTTTTGTTTTAGGCACATAAACACATTTCTGATCTTATATAACCTGTCGCTTCTGTCAGGTCTTGTTTTGTCTGAAAAGTGTAACATACGTAACAGTATCAAGAAACGTGACTCACGAAATTGTAATGACACGATTGCAAACAAACCATACCACGAGCGGGGATAGAACCCGCGATCAGAGTCTCAAAACTCAAAACCACAAATGCAAGTCACAGTGGTGCCTATGCTTACCTATCTATGGTGTAGAAATATACCTAGTTGAACGAATCTTATTGTGGCTAGCTGGTCCAGTGGCTAACGTGACAGTCTGCAGTTTTGAGACTCTGATCGCGGGTTCTATCCCCACCTGTGGTATGGTTTATCAAGAAACGATTCACACCTATGATGTCACTAAAACCTGGGGTTGAAATCAGGCTTTCTATTGACCAGTATGTGTTGACAGTGTGCTTATACACATATGGCATAAGCATTATTGTGGCAAAAAGCAGGTACATCTCTGCCACAGTTGTGTCTTTCCACTGGTGTAGCCGTGATCTTGGTGAGAGAACTGTATTTGCCATGGTGTACTCATAGTATGTGTTGGTTTCTCTGACAATCATATCCATCAGGGGTTCATCCAAGAATAACTGAACGCATTCCAGTTCAGTAGCATTATTCCCAAGTGTACACAATGGCCGTATTCCACTTTGTGTTTCATCAAAGTCATGGGGACTGGGAACAAACTCGTCACCTTCCTGCCACTCCCAGATGCGGTCTGCTGGTGGGTTCTGGATATTGAAACGTGGTTGTGAAGGTTGTGGTTGTACAGGTTGTGGGAGTGTGGGGTTGGGTGAGGCTGGTTGTGCAGAGTCAGCAGCGTGGGTAGTAGCGTGGCCCGCTGCCGGTGCCACATGACTCGTGCCACCATCACTATCACCACCACCACCTGCTGCCTCACTCACATCATTCATACCCATCGTAACAATATCGTCATCTTCACTATCAGGTCGTGGTGTAGGGCCACGGGATGTGCTCCGAGATTTACTCCTTCCCCTTGGAACAGCATATGAAACACTACCAGACCGCATGCTACGTCGTATATACTGCCACTTCACTGGGGAATATTCACTCTCACTGTCACAACTAGAACTGCTTTCAATAACTTTGAAATCACTATCACTTTCACTGCTCACATCTGAGTCTTGTACACAGGCAAATAGTTTCCTCTTTCGTCCTGGTACAGGTGAACATGAACGTGAACATAAACAAGCCGGCCCAGCACCAGAGGTGGAAGGTCGTGGGTCATCTGGGTTTTCATCACTAATTATGTTATCCTGGGCATTTTTTTCAGTCACACCCGCTTGAAAACCATGGAATTCACTTTCACTGACACTTTCATTGCTGTTAGAGCTATCACTTGGGAACAAAAGATCTCCAATCTGCCGAGGAGTGAGGAACTTCTTACTGCGAGGCATGGTGAAAATGGACTACCAAGATGGCATTCCCACAATGCACCATTGAGTCCCAAATTTTTTTCACAGGGTGCACACCCACCTCTCAGACCCATTCTCTCTCATGTAAGCCTACCAGCTTTCTCCCGCTTGATTTGAAGCCACTAGAATTTACGCGTATAAATACAGTGGACCCCCGGTTAACGATTTTAATCCGTGCAAGAGGGCTCATCGTTATGCGAAATAATCGTTATGCGAATGAATTTTCCCCATAAGAAATAATGGAAATCAAATTAATCCGTGCAAGACGCCCAAAAGTATGAAAAAAATTTTTTTTTACCACATGAAATGTTAATTTTAATACACACAAACTGAAAAAGGCATGCACAATTAAATGACACTTACTTTTATTGAAGATCTGGTGATGATTGATGGGATGGGAGGAGGGGAGACATTATCTTCTTACTGTTTAGAAGGGGAATCCCCTTCCATTACGACTTGAGGTAGCAAGTCCTTTTCCGGGGTTACTTCCCTTCTTCTTTTAATGCCACTAGGACCAGCTTGAGAGTCACTGGACCTCTGTCGCACAACAAATCTGTCCATAGAGCTCTGTACCTCCCGTTCCTTTACGATTTGTCTAAAATGGGCCACAACATTGTCATTGAAATAGTCAACAGCACGGCTTGCAACAGCTGTGTCAGGGTGATTTTCATCTATAAAGGTTTGCAGTTCAACCCACTGTGCACACATTTCCTTAATCTTTGAAGTAGGCACAATGGATTCCACAACTGGCATAGGCTTCTCAGGGTTAGCCCCAAACCCTTCAAAATCTTTCTTAATTTCCATACTAATTCTCACCCTTTTTACCACAGGTTGGCACTAGAAGCTTTCTTGGGGCCCATGGTCACTTATTTTCCAGAAACAGCACCGAAAATACTGTAATAATACGAAATATTCCGAGTGTATGCTTGGATGTTACCGCGGAGGCTGGCTGGTAAACAATGGGACGGAGCGGCACATGTGAGGCTGGCTGAGGGCACATTGGACGCGTCTCGGACGAAAATCGGTATGCGGGTTTTTAATCGGTATGCGGGGCAAAAATTTTGCGATAAAAGTAATCGTTATGCGGAAAAATCGCTATGCGATGCCATCGTTATGCGGGGGTCCACTGTACGTCAGAAACAGTGGCGCGTAAGACGTATATATACAACGTAAACAGTCAAAGGGTTAATGAAGTGTCAGTTTGTACAATTAAAAAGAATGAGGTAAATATACAAGTTTGTGATGAATAACTGACTGACTGACTTGACGTACTTATTTGACTGACTTACTGACAGACTTAACAGATTTACTTAACTGACTTATTGGCTTACTTGACTGCCTTACTGACTTGACTTGCTTACTGGCTGACTTTACTGACTGACTTTAAGTTAGTTTTTCACTGAAGAAGACCCTGACAAATCTAGAAGCTGTGCTCTGAAATGGTGTCTAGAGCAGCTGACACTTTACCGTCAGGGTAAAATAGCCAAGAAATTCATTACAGAATTTATGCACACCATCGACTTCAGTGCCAGAACCTCTACCATCCACCTCAACCCAGTAGAGCCACAACATAACTCTCCATTCTCTTCACAATCATCCACAAACACCAGCACCCACAATTTAAGGTATGAAATGTTATTTCTGTTGCATCTGTAGTCTTAAGCAGCAAAAACAACATACTACATCATGACAATGAACAACAATTCATATTCACTTTTGTTTTTTTAAGATCTGGAGGTCTAAAACAAAGTAATTTGGCTTTTTTGGGGCTCCCAGAAATGTAACCCTATTTTTTCCACAAGTTCTTCAGTTGATCTAACATGGATTTATCTAACACAGCATTTTCAAGAACATAACTACCATGTAATATAACGGTCTACTGTACTCAGCCTACTGTCCCTAATAGCCTTTACCATCTCTAGTGCTCATCATTAACCCTTCATTGTCAGGACTCCCGAAATTAAAAGAGCTGACAATGTCGGGAATCCCCTGACATCTTTTTTTTTTATTTTTTTTTGTTCCCTCCTTGCCCCACCCTCTACAAGCAAAGTATCCACAGCTGTACCACAATAGAAATAATTCATTCCCTCTTAGTAAACTGCTTCTGCTCTGTGCATTTCAATAAGTTTCACTGCTGGGACTTGACTTACTGTAGACAACTTGTCTTCAGCCTCATCTAGAGCATCCATCAGAGATGAAAGTGCTGACCCTAATCTTTGCTCCTCCTCCTCAAGATCTTCTTCATCCATATCAAGAAGAACATCCTATAAAAGGGAAATAAGGTATGACATCAATTGTGTTTATCCAGTTTAAAACATGATAATACATTTTGGTATTTTAAGTAATTTGTGTATAAAATGACTAAGATATTAGAGACATGATGAAAAATATAAAAATCTGAATTACATTTAACTTCATCCAGGACAGAACACTTCCAAGCACCAAACAAAAGTAAAGAAAAGTATAGATGACCCTTGAATAATGTGGAGGGTTAGAGGTGCTGACCCCTTGCGGTCAAAAATCTGTGTATAACTTTTGACTCCTCAAAAACTAATAGCCTACTGTTGACCAGTCATCAATTGTTTATGTACCATAAACAATTGATGACTTGGAGAGCATATAAATCTGTAGGGGAAGGAAGGAGAGGTAGGGGTCATTCTCAAAAAGGTTGGAGAGAGGGGGTAAAGGAAGTTTTGTGGGTGAGGGGCTTGGACTTCCAGCCAGCATGCGCAAGTGTGTTAGATAGGAATGAATGGAGACTAATCGTGTCTGGGACCTGACGAGCTGTTCGGTGTAAGCAGGGTAATATTTTGTGAAGGGATTCAGGGAAACTGGTTAGCCAGACTAGAGTCCTGGAAATGGGAAGTACAATGCCTGCATTTTAAAGTAGGGGTTTGGGATATTGGCAGTGTGGAGGGACATCTAAGCTGTCATATCTGAGTGCCTCTGCAAAAACAGTTATTATGAATGAGTGATGGTGAAAGTGTTGAATGATTATCAAAGTTTTTTTCTTTCTTTTCGGGTCACCCTGCCTCGGTGGGTAATGGCCCAAGTGTTAAAAAAAATAATTGTGTGTTATATGTATTATACAGTGGAACCTCTGGTCACGAACACTTCCAAACACAAATAAATCAGCTCACGACCAAAAAATTCACCAAATTTTTGCATCTGGTCATGAACATGTAATCAGGTGCTGAACAAACACAGCCGTGCCAATTTTCACATTCCGTGCCATTTTTTCGCACGCACCAATTTCCCCCACTTCCTGTTGTTTGTGTACACATCGCCTTGTAGTTGGTCTCGGTTAGACGTGTGTTCATTCGCTGTGAAGTCCTCGTGTTGTATTTCGTGTGTTTTTTAATTCATTTTGCAATTAACCATGACCTCTAAGCAAGTGAAGAGTGGTAATGTGGGTAAAAAGAAGAGTTTGAAGAAATTTGAAATAGAAGTGAAGAAGGAAATTACTAAAAAGTATGAGCATGTTACCAACCTTGCTGCGGAGTTCAAGAAGCCAAAGTCTACGATCTCAACTATTCTGAAGCAGACCGGGGCTATTAAAGCAGCTAATGTTGCTAAAGGAGTTACGATGTTAACCAACCAGAGGCCTCATGTGCTGGAAGAGGTGGAGAAACTGTTGCTAGTGTGGCTGAATGAGAAGCAACTTACAGGTGATAGCGTAAGCAAGGCGATCATATGCGAGAAAGCCAGGAAGATACACAGTGATTTGCGGCAGAATTACCCTCCTACGAGTGCAGAAAGTGATGAATTTAAAGCCAGTAGAGGATGGTTTGAAAAGTTTCATAAGAGAATTCGCATTCATAGTGTGGTAAAGCATGGAGAGGCTGCTAGCTCTGACGCTGCTGCTGCGAAAGATTTTGCTAAATTCGTGAAGGCCGAAGGGTCTAGAATAAACTCGTGCATTGTTACTTTTCTCTGTTGTTCAGTGTTATTCAAGGTATTTACATTTATTTTACTATTACACTTTGCATTCTATGGTATAATTAACTATTTTTGTGCTTAAAAATCTTAAAAAAAAAAAGAAAAACAACATTTACATACAGTTCATAGGGGTCTGGAACTGATTAATTGTATTTACATACAATCCAATGGGAAAATTAGGTTTGGGTCATGACCAAATTGGGTCGCGACCAGAGTTTTGGAACGAATTATGGTCATGACCAGAGATTCCACTGTATACTGTATTCTTACAAGAAAGTAAGCTAGAGAAAAGAAAATATTAAGAAAATCATAAGGAAGAGAAAATGCATTTACAATACTGTACTGCGTATTGACCTTTGTGGGTTTAGCAAACATATACAGTGGATCCTCGACCAACGATATTAATCTGTTCCAGAGAGCTTGTCCTTAGCTGAATTCATCATTAGCCAAATAAATTTTCCCCATAAGAAATAACGGAAATACAATCAATCCGTTCCAGACAGCCAAAAGTATGAAAAGAAATTTTTTTTTTTCACATGAAATATACATTTTCCTACACACAAAAAGGATACATGGACAATAAATACTGTACTAAATGAAGAATAAATAACACTTACCTTTATTGAAGATGTAGTGATGAGATGGGAGGAGAGGAGATGGAAGTATATTATTGTTTGGAATTGGAATCCCCTTCCATAAGAACTTCAGGTACCAATTCCTTTTCTGGGGTTACTTCCCTTCTTTTTTAATGCCACTGGAAACAACTTGAGTCACTGGACCTCTGTCGCATCAAAAATCTGTCCATAGAGCTCTGTACCTCGCGTTCCCTTAAGATTTTCCTAAAATGGGCCACAACATTGTCATTGTAAAAGTCACCAGCATGGCTTGCAATAGCTGTGTCAGGGTGATTTTTATCCATAAAGGTTTGCATGTCAACCCACTTTGCACAAATTTCCTTAATTGTTGAAGAAGGCAATTTACTCCACCTCTCTCTCCCCTCCTCTGAAGCATTTTCTCAGTTGTGGTCTCTTGCTGTGGCAGATGCTCTTGCAGCTCATCAGTGGTTAGTTCTTCATCGTGGTCCTCCACCAACTCCTCCACATCCTCCCCACTAACCTCCAATCCCAAGTACTTCCCCAGTGCCACAATAGATTCCACAACTGGCATAGGCTCCTGAGGGTTATCCCTAAACCCTTCAAAATCCCTCTCTTGTACACATTGTGGCCACAATTTCCTCCAAGCAGAGTTCAAAGTCCTGTTAGTCACTCCCTTCCAAGCCTTACCTATAAGATTTAAGCAATTGAGGATACTAAAGTGATCTCTCCAAAAGTCTCTTAGGGTCAACTGAGTGTCTGAGGTCACTTCAAAGCACTTTTGAAACATTGCTTTGGTGTACAGTTTTTTGAAATTTGAAATGACCTGCTGGTCCATGGGCTGGAGGAGAGGAGTGGTATTAGGAGGCAAGAATTTGACTTTGATAAAACTCAAGTCCCCCGCAATTTACTCTGGCAAGTCTGAAGGATGAGCAGGAGCATTGTCTAATACCAGGAGGCACTTGAGGTCCAATTCGTTTTCCAGGAGATAATTTTTCACAGTGGGGCTAAACACATGATAAAACCAATCATAGAAAATGGCGCTAGTGACCCATGCCTTACTGTTTGCCCTCCACATCACACACAAATTAGCCTTGATGACATTGTTTTTCTTGAACACTCTGGGAGTTTCAGAGTGATACATGGGTAGAGGCTTCACTTTGCAATCCCCAATAGCGTTACTACAAAACATTAGATTTACCCTGTCTTTCATAGGTTTGTGTCCTGACAGTGCTTTTTCCTCCTGTGTAATGTAGGTCCTGTTTGGCATTTTCTTCCAAAACAGGCCTGTTTTGTCACAATTAAGCCCTTGTTGGGGGTTTTAATTTTTCAGTGTATGTACTCCTTGAATTCCTGCACATATTTTTCAGCCGCTTCTGTGTCCGAACTGGCAGCCTCTCCATGCCTTACCACACTGTGTATGCTGCTACGATTCTTAAATCTCTCAAACCAACCTTTGCTGGCCTTAAATACAAAAGCATTACCACTAGTTGCAGGTATTTTTTTAATTAAATCGTCATGCAACTGCCTTGCCTTTTCACACATGACTGATTGAGAGATACTATCTCCTGATACTTGTTTTCCGTTTATCCACAACAACAACAACAGTCTCTCAACATCTTCGAGTATTTGCAATCTCTGTTTTGAAAACATACTTGCACCTTTCGCAACAACAACTTCCTTGATTGCCTTTCTGTTGGTCAAGATAGTAGCGATGGTTGATTGGGGTTTGGTATACAACCTGGTTAGCTCGGAGGCACATACTCCACTTTCATACTTGGTAATTATTGCAATTCTCACCCTTTTTACCTACAGGGTTGGCACTAGAAGCTTTCTGTGGGCCCATGGTGGCTTATTTAGCAGTTACAAGCACTAAAAACACTGGAATAACACAAAACGTACCGAATGTATGCGTGGAACCACCGCACTGGCTTGTAAACAATGGCACACTAACTGAAGGTAGGGCAGCTGAGGTGCGCTCAGGCCAGACGGACACGTGTACGCATTCAGGACGAATGTTTTTAGTCGAGTTTTTCATCATGGGTTGGGCCAAAATTTTTACGCTCAAATGCATCGTCAGGCGATTTTATCATTAGACGATGCCATCATTGGTCAAAGGTCCACTGTATAACGTAGATAAGAGTAAGGTGATGAGGGCATCAATCGATTTAGGTAAAGAAAAATTGGATATCACTTCGGAGGGAGGGAATACGTAAGAAGTGAATGTGTCCGATATTTGGGAGTAGACTTGTCAGCAGATGGATTTATGAAGGACAAGGTAAACTGCAGAATTGATGAAGGAAAAAGGGTGGGTGGTGCACTGAGGTATCTGAGGAGGCAAAGAACATTATTGATGGAGACAAATAAGGTAATGTATGAGAGTACATACAGTGGTACCAACACTCTTATATGGGTGTGAACCATGGGTTGTAAATGCTGCAGCAAAGAGGAGGCTGGGGGCAGTGGAGATGTCATGTCTAAGGGCAATGTGTGGAAAAATATTATGCAAAGAATTCGTAGTGTGAAAATTATGAGGTGTGGAGTTGCTAAAAGCATTATTCAGAGGGACAAAGAGGGGTTGTTGATGTGGTTTTGTCACCTAGAAATGATGAAGCAAAATAGGATGACTGAGGGTGCATAAATCTGTAGTAGAGGAGAGGAGGGGTAGTGGTCATCCTAGGAAAGGATGGAGGAAGTGTGTAAAAGAGGTTTTTGTGCAAGAAGCTTCAATG